ATGAGATGTTTGGCCAAGTCATGGATTTGTTCAAGTTGGTCGATCAATCCCTCCTTACTTTAATTACTTATTTAGCTATTTTAGGTCGGAGGTATTTAGCCCCAAAGGGGATTGCGGTTTTCACAAGTTCTTTTAATCCAAACGTTTATTTAAGCATAAAAAATCTTGGATGTTTCTTATACAAAACCATGCATATCCTATTTTGTTTCTCGTATGAAATCATATTCAAGGGCGTGTCAGAGGGTTATTAAAGAATATTAGCCCCCACTATTTACGCTGGTGGTTCGAGACTAATTTCTTCCTAGGATTCAACCTCAATTAACAGAACTTTAAGCAACGTACATAAAAGTAGTTTTCCCTCCAAAAATAACTACCAAAAAGTAGTTTTCCCTCCAAAAATAACTACCATTGACAGAATTAATTATGTATAAAAAGAATGATGAAATTATTTTTTCAAGATGCAAAGTGCTAAGTCTTTGATTAATTAATATATATTAATCATCCACCAATTCTTACCAAAAGCCTCCTAAAAGACTTTCAAATATTTGAGTGGAATATTATTTATTAACACATTTTTACTTTTCTTACCCACCCATGTGGGATACATAATACAAAATTGTAGATAAAACCCATAAGTTCCAATAGTTGCCGCACAACACCCCATCCCATAAACAACAATCAGAAGAACCATCATCCGATGCATTACTTGCGATCTTCCAAGAGTCTAACTTTCTAAACCTACGGGTTTCGAAATATTCATGAGGAATGGTTTGCTTAAATAGGTACAAAGCCAAACATTCCTCATCATGACTTAATAACAATTCAGTACAAGTAACAATAAGCAACATGGATAGAAAGAGTTTTTGCAGGAAGTTGAGATGCTGGAAGCATGAAGTTATTAGGAAAAGAAGTTTGTCTGATTGTTATTGGATACGTAATGTTGTTCTAAACCATGCTTATGTTTCAAAATTTGTCCATAAGTGCATATATGAAGCTAAAGAGAAGGTTCATTTAACCACTAAAGTTAACATATCTTAAACAATACCTTATTTATTATAAAATAGAAATCATTGACTCGGTTTGTAGTTTAATAAAACAAAGGTATTACTTTGACCATCATATTTGAAAACTTTTCTGGTCATCGTTTTCCAAGTGAATGTGAAACTAAAAATGTTGTATTTGTAGTTAAAACCACAAAAAATGCCAACAAAAAAAAAAAAAAAAAACTCCAGAAAGGTTCGAAGTTCAATCGACGCAAGCAAGCAGTATGCAACGATGAAAGTAAGCAGAAAGTAACGATGACAGAAAGTAACGATGACAGAAAGTAACGATGAAAGAAAGCAGCAACTAGGGTTTAA